TATATATATATGCACACATTATACTTGATTAGATTAAACAATTTATTTGATATCCTTAAAAGACTCCTTTTGTTTCTTTTTATTTGGGAGTATTTAATGAACTTTATTTTTTTAGAGCAATTGTAGGTTCCCAGCAAACTTGGGTACAAAGTGCAGAGTTCCTACAGACACGCTGACCCCCACGCAACACACCATCACCCCTCTATCAGCATCTCCACGAGAGTGGTCCATTAATTACAACCTGTGCCTGTTAGGAACGTACATTGACACACCATTATCACCCAAAGTCCACAGTTTGTGTTCGAGTTCACTCAGTGTGTGTTCTATGGATTTGGACAAATGTCTAATGACATGTATCGACCATCATAGCATCAATATGGAATGGTTTCGGGACCCTAAAACTCTTCTGTGCTCTGCCCGTTCATCTCTCCTTCCCTCCTAACTGTAACATTTTGAAGTAAAATATTACCTTTCTCATTCTTCTCCCACTCCCACTGGCTGCTAGCACACCCCCAGGCCTCCCAGCTCCCGTGTTCCCCAGGGAATGTCGTGGTGCAAGCCCCACTCAGGCAAGCAGCCTTCCACGGTTCCCTGAGGAAGCTTCTCAGCACTCCCAACCCCTGCCCACCCCTCAGCAGGGCCTGAGTCATACGAAGGGGTGAATGACTAACAGCTCCCAAAATGGGGCTTAGGTCTTTCCGTTTTGAAAAAGGGTGCTGGCTGACCCCTATCTCTTGAATAGATGCACCCTCACAAAGTACCAGGAAGGGATATGAGGTGGCCCAGCGCCCACCAGAGACCTCTCTCCAGGGCTATCTTCTGCTTTTTCCTCTTTCTCCCTTCCTTCCTTTCGGGGCAGACACATGATCGCAAAATTCCAAGATCTGTTCTCTCAAAATGGTACTCCTGGCAGCAATGCCTTGGCCAGAACTCCATGTTTGCAATTTAGAGCTTGTAAATATACTAGTCAGACCCTCAGAGGGAGAGACATTTGAGTTCTCACTTTGCAAGTGCCTAGTTTGTGTCTACTGATTTCATCTTCTTTGTAGTTACAATATTAGCATGTCTCGTGGAGAAAAAAGTACTGTCAGTGTTTCTAGGATCTCCCGTAAACACTCCCAGCACCATCTCAACACTGGGTGTAAAAGCACTTTTCGTAACACGCCCAATCATCTGATAACACAAGAAAGGGATTTGTGACAGACTTTGCTGAACTTCCAACTGCCTTTCCTCGATGCAGTCGCCCATCTTTGCGCAGATAAAGATTATGGTTGCCAAGGAAACGGGAGCAAAGAGAGAAAGACAGAAACTTTGTCTCATTTGGTTTCCCTCAGACTCACAAAGCAAGCTGGGCTGTAAGCAGAGCTGGATGAGATTATGGTAGATTTATAATTTACTTAGTCAAATTGCTTTGAATTCGTAGTCATGCCTCAATGTACATTTTTTTCCTCCTCTGAAAGTTAGGCCTCCGCACTTGGTTGTCCAATGTCTGGCAAATAACAGAGCTTTGAAATTCATTGTCTGTGATTAAACTCAAATGCAGGACAGATGGCTTGTCTGAGTATGTGTCAGACAGGCAAAGCACTTAAGATTTGTGACAGGCAAGACCAGGAATTAACTGCTAAGTATTTGCATTTATTCATACATTCATGTGCACCATGAATACAGCTATAAAACTTACTTAAGGGTTCTCACTTTATTCAAAATATCCCCAAACAAAGCAATTGCTCTCCTTTGGCAAACCAGATGCTCTAATCTCAACCCCATTAACTCAAAATCCATTTCTCTCCTACTCCGTGTATTGTGTACCCCTCAGTTTGCTCTGAAATTCAAGCATGTGAATAACACCCAGCTTGCCCAGAACCCAAACTGTTGGTTCCCACTTCATTTGTATGAACCTTTTAATTGAAATACTGTATTTTTTTTTATTGGACGAACGTTTGTCTGTCAAAATAAACAAAGACTGATCCAATGAGAACAGGCAAGGGCTGTTTGGTCAGAGCTCGCTCTAGCAGGGGAGCCGCTACTGTCACGTGCGGTTTGACAGAGACTCCAAGGCAGGCACAGAAGTGGGAAAGTGGTAGAGAGGAGAAAAGGGAAGGTTTCGGATATTCCCTCATCAGAGGCTGGTGGCCTGGGGAAGCTGGAGGCTGGATAACCAGAAGCAGGCATCCCAGGTGATGGTTAGCAGGGGCTTACTTGATTTTTTCGGGGTGGTTCTAAACTGGAAGCAGGAACAAAACTTAAGGAAGCTGGAAGTTGTTCATCAAATCTTGAGTGTTTGGGCCAATTGTCACACAGGTTATTGTTTGGCTTCCGGGACCAGTTGCCAGAGATAGTGGGCTGACTTCCTGCAAGTGTGACTTGTAGATTGCAGGCTGACATCCTGGGCTGGTTGCTGCGGACTGCGGACCAAAGTTCTGTTTTCATTGTGCTCCAGCCATCGTCCATTTGTATATTCAATTGCTCGGGCCATAAACATCGGAGGAACAAGAAAGGACACAGAGAAAAGGAGACAGCTTAGTGAATTCTCAAGTGTAACAAGCACCCAGGGGCCCCATTTATTTGAAACTTCTCCACAGTCACAATTTCAGAAAGCTGTGGTCAAGGAACGTTTTGAGTTGCTGCGGGGTTTCTTTCCCTGCACTTCTTTGGTCCTTGTGTCCAGGGCTGGGACTCACAGCTGAACCTCCTCAGTCAGCCCTTCTCAAGAAGTGAAGTCTCCCCAGATGCGGTGAACATGGGCAGCTGTGGGTTCCCCACAGTCAGGCGCAGCCCTGAGGATCACCTTCCTCCCCATTTCTAGACAGGTCAGAGAATATGCCTTGAAATCCGGGCTTCACCACTCCCTTGGGCAAGTTAGAGAATCTCGCAAAACCTGCTTCATCTACAAAATGAGGCTAATAATGGTGCCTCTTCTCACAGGGTTGATGGGTGGATGAATTAAGGCAGTGGAACAGATAAACCTTCAACATGAGCCCTCACACAGAATAGGCACTCCCATTTAGATTTACCGGACATTTAAAATGTTGGAAAATGACAGCTAAAAGTCAGTGAGAACCTACTATGTGCCAGGCACGGGGCTCAGTGCTTAAATGTGTGGTATTATGCAATGTTTCTATTAGAGACAATCATCCTTATTTTAGAGAAGGAACTGAGGCTTAGAGATATTAGAAACTCTCTGTTCTCACCTGCATTTGTCATGAGGGCTAAGAGATTAATGCATGTGCAGCATGTCCTCTGCGCAGGGCTCAGCTCATCGTAATCACTCAGTCAGTGGGGCTCCTGTTGAAGATGACCCTTGGATTATCCACTGCGGCAGACCCTGAGTAGCAATCACCCAACCAAAGTCTGCTCTCCTTTTCATCCTTACTAACATCACATTTTTGTGTAGAGTGGCATCATGCCTTGATAAAAGTACTCCTCTCATCAGGCTCCCTTATTACTTTGGAAGTTCATGTGACCTAATTCTGGCCAATGAGAGATAAGTGTAAGTGTAAGTGTCCTAGGTGGCCTTTTGGGAAAATGATTACTGTCCCAAGAAAAAGGAGGTCTCATCTGACACATACCTTTTCCCCTTGTCTGTCCCCATCTTTGCTGCCTAGGAAGCACATGTAAGGTCATGAGGTACAGCTGCCATCCTGTGTGCGTGAGGACCAAAGGCCCATGCCCAGGACGGCAAGGCAGAAAGAAGAGCCCCAGACCCCTGATGGTCTTGTAGGGATACTGTCCCAGCCTCCAAATGGTTCCGCCACTGTGGTTAAGCCAGCATGGCCAGATTTCTGTTACCATGCAGCGGAAGGCCATCTCAGTTAATACAGCCACCGTTTGGAGTGCTGTGAATGTCCGAATGAACTGCAATTTCCAAACGAATGAAAACAAAGAATTTGAAGTGTCTTCTTTAATCTGTTTCCACATCCCAACTGAGAGGACGAAGAAAAAGAACTCCAGAGAATGGAACGTTGGTTTCCAGTCCTCTCTGCATGAATTATCCTCAACCCTTCTGAGCATGGACATCAAGGCTTTTTCCTCAACATCCAACTCCCATGTGTCCGCTCCCAACTGCTAAGTCTCCCCTCTTCCCTGTCATCTGATGTCATATATGGTGTCACCAGGAGGGTTTCCACGGGTCATTGGCACCGTGCGCTCAGGGATCCGAGGACATTCGCCAGTCATTTGTCCTCAAGGCTTGGCTCTGGACCAGCCTCACCCAGCACGGGACTGAGTAATCCTTCTGTAAAACCTGAGGCATCTGCTCTGGCATTCTAGTCAAGGTCTAAGGGCAGAAATTGCATTCTGCCTAGTTGTCAGCTCTCCTAGAGTTCTAACTAGGTAGGACTTACTTTCTCTCCAAGGAAGGTGATGCCCCACATGGCTCTGCACATTAAAACAAGGGGTCCAACCCAAGTGATAGAGGAGCGTTGCATTGTGACAGGAAGCCATCATGAGGTGAGGGTGAGCGGCTTCCTCTGGCCCCGTGACGAGCCAGCTGGGATGGCGGCTTTCAGCTTGGGAGCAGCTGAGTGTACCAGAGGGGTTAAGCTTGTGGTTTCCTGTGCCATTTCAGAGAAATAACATGCATGTATTTCCACTTACTTTCAAGGATTTCTAAGGTGATGTCAGACGAGAAGAGGACTGAACTCCAGCCCCTTCTCTCACAGCTTTCCCATCAAAATACAGCCCACATGAGGAACACAAAAACTCAATTCCTGCTGTATATTACATACGCTGTCTCAACACTGCATGGGACATGACTGTTCATATTCTAAGCCATCAATAACCCTCATGGAAGTACTTTGCTTTGCTTAAATATTCTAAAAGGCCAAAATTTTAAATGATTTAATGTGCAAAATTGCCTTCATAAAAGTGTGGGACTAAACGGTGAAGCAGAGGACATCCAGAAAAATCTGAAATGATCCTCCTTTTGATTCAACTAGAAAAAGCACAAGTTTTCAACACCTAAAATCAGGTTTTAGTCAAATAAAGACCCGGACACACGATGAAGAGAAAATCTCTAATAATTTATTTGACCTTCAGTTTCACATTGTGAAAAAAAAAATAACAGTTTTACAAAACCTCAGAAACATAGTAGCAAACAAGTACATATGAACACGAACACTTCACTTCTTCAACTTACACAGAGGTTTGTACGTGAACCACATATTCAATAGCCAAGAGAAGGATGTTATTCAGCTCTAATCATTCTCATTCAGACAGGTGTCAAGCCCAGAGAAAAGGGGGCTACACAATTATACCAGAAGTGGAAGGCTGCCCTTTGTTGTCCGTTTCCAAGGCAACCAGGCTACAGAATAAGAAGAACCTTCTCTGTCTTATGCCAAGGTCTTTTGTGTGCACTGTGCTGTGAATTGTATTTGCTTCAAAGTGTGGGACGTTTCACAGGGTGAGAATGGTCAAGTAGTGAGCCCAAATGCCTACATCAATTCAAAGAGTGGGAGTCCAGAAAGTTCCCTGCAGGCTGGGGGCCCACCCTGACCACAGCTCTCTCTGGCTCACACACAGCAATTAATAGAGGATTCAAGGAAAGACCACAACTTTGAAACAGCTGCAGAAAATTCACCCTGCTTTCAGAAGTCACCCAGTGACACCCCCATCCTGGCAGATTTGCATCATAAACTACACAAAGCTGTAACTGCTCCAATACGGCGACACCGACTATGCCACCAGGGTACAATCAGGCATTTGCATTGCTTAGAACACATCTAGGAGCAAGGGACTGACTGCTGGAAAGTATGGTGATTTTTTGATTCCAATGGCTCATTTATTTTGGTCCAACTATAGCCCATTTATGCATGGCACAGACGAACGCTTACAATTAGTTGAAAGTATTCAGGTGGAGAGAAATGTGAAGGATCTATCTGTCATTAGACACTGCAAACACACGATGCAAAAGGTTACTGGTCTTAAACTCTATTTTCTAAAATACAGTAATGTGAGAAACAGCAACAAAAGCAGCGCGAGTTGCAAATTCTGGGCTTCCCCAGACACCTTAGAGGAAGCACCTATTTGATTCTACCACTAATGCCTATCACAGCACATGTTTAGTAAACAAGCACTCGAAGGAGCAAAGAATGTATTCACAACTCTCCCGGAAAGCCTCTCAGCAGGGGCCACTGCTTACAATTCTTTGGTGTTTAGGGGCCATACGTGTCACTTTTGTGCACCAAAGACTTCCTTTAGACTTACCTAAAGGGGAAGCACTAAAGTATACATTATACCCATGGGAATATTGCCTTGGAGAGCTTTTAGCACTTGCTTAATCGTACAGCAGGAATAGAGAACAACGAATCCAGGTCAAGCAAATCTGGTGAGTGAATTAATTTCCATCTGTGAGGGTTAACTGTGGTTACGGCAAAGCATTCTCATCGGGTAAATAAATAGATAAATAAATAAACTTTGAACAATGCCTTTACCTGTGCCCTATATACAGACCGATCCCATAGAATTTTCCAGGATTTCAGGATATTACACAAAGAAAAAAAAAGCTGCAAAATGATTTGGTCCTTTCCAAATTTCAGTAGCTGAGATTGAAGTAAGAGAATCAGACAGAAGGGAGAGGGCAGAAAGCACCCTTTCCTTGCCCCACGAGCCATCGGCATGACCAGAGCCCACGAAACCTCATTAAAAGTTGGTTAGTCTAAGAAAAATGACCTTCATGCTTTCTTTAACTCTAGGATGTAACTTAAGTTTCCATCTTGTAATCCTTCCCTGCTTTGACATTTACAAAATCCCTCCCCCCAACCCACCGCCCTGCCCCACCCGCCCTCCAGTTATACTCCTAATTGTAACTCCAAAGTTTTCACTTTTGTGCAGCCAAGCACATCACAACAGCCACAAAATTGTGCAAAACGTACCACCGTTCACACGGGTCCAAACACACAAGGACGACTGTAAAGCACTGTTTCAGCATGCAGGCCTCGAACAATAAATAGCTAAACCTAGAACAAATTTCTTATCAGCCAAGGGAAAGTTGAAAGTCACTCATAAATAGCAAAGAACATCTACCGAACAGCTACCAACAATGTCCCCATTGTTCACGAACAGTCCTGGGGCCCCTCAGAGATTAGCAGCGAGTCCAGGGGTCCTCACTCTGCAGCAGCCCAGCCAGGTCCCCTCCTGGCCCCACAGCTGGGCTTTCGATCTCCAACAGCAGCTGGTGTGGAGGCTTGGAGCCTTGCTCCTTAAAGAGCAGTGACAACCATTTCAAATTTTAACACATAAATGGCGGAGCCCATGGACATCAGATGCTGAATATGCTACAGCGAGGGAAAAGGTCGGGCTTTTCTCTCCTTTGGAGGGGCTGATTAACGCTGACATTAATCCACAATTACAGACAAGGACTAGATCACAGGTTCGTTCATTCATATTTAAACCCTGTGCTACTTGCACAGAAAACCCCTACCCCCCTCCCCGTCTCCCACCCCCATCCTTCATGTCCAGTTAGAGCATTTACAAGGTGCCGCGGATGGTACTCGAGAAGCAACTTCGTTTTCTTTTTCTTTTGTTTCTCTTCATTACATTTGGCCTCTCCAGAGTTGAAGTCTCACCTGGTCTCACTGAGGAATGGAGTCAGCTAAAATAGATGAAAAGGAAAATTTTTGTTAGCTGTCTCAGATCTAAAAAAAACAAAAACAAAAAACACTCATAACAGTCGATATTGCTTCTAAAGGTCTTAATTACATATTCTGTAGGTACCGTGCATAGATATTTAAAGGAATGGCCCTAAATGCACACACACATGCATTCACGCCTCCAGATGGCTCCACAAAAACAATGGTATGCAAAGAAAGGCCTTCACTTCTTTCCTAAACATGTATATGTTCAAATTCAAACCTATGCATCTAGTGTTGTTACGAGTTGCCATCTTCTGCCTCCAACATTCATAATTTCTCTCCACGGTTAAACAGAGCCACTATAAAGTGATCACCAGAGGGTCACAAGAGATTCCTGTGCCAAGCCCTCTTTTTTGGCCCCTTTACCATAAAGGATTCCAAATTAAATTTATTCACCATATAGAAGGCAGACATATTAATCCTCTTATTTAAATGCATCTCTGCCATTCATCTTGGCAGAAAATCAGTCTCGCTTCCTTTCACATGACAGCAGACCAGGCATCATCAGCCCCAGGCTGGAGTTCATTCTCGAAGTTCATCGGTCCACACTTGGGAGACACCGGCTGGGGTGTGCAGTGCTTGTTAGCAACAGAATCTACCGACGTCCAACATGAAAATACATTCAAGGTGCCCACGTTTCGTGGGAGCTGGCATTTCCTCACACTACCCAGCCTTTCCATTTGGTTAAGTCTAATTTTATAGAGGGATATTTTGCAGAGGGCTTTTGGCTTTCAAATACTCACCCTATCTGTTCTTGGAGCACATTTCCAGCCCTAGACTCTGCAGCCCCAATGCCTTAACTCTCAGTACAGACAAAGGGAATTCGGGAGGGGCCACCGATCACTGGCACTGAATTCATCTTGCCCTAGTGTGTTCAGAAGTCTGATTCATTTCATTAGTTGTTTCTTTTGGCAGTTCCGTAACAGTGATTCAAGCTTTCAAGGCATTCCTTAGACTACCTTGTCACCCCTCACCCCCACCTCCTTGTAACCAATACATCAATATTAGGCCAGAAGAATGTATCTTGTAATAATATGAAATTTCAAGATGTTGCATATTCAAACAGAAAGAAAAAAAAAGACCCAAAACAAAAAACACCTCTAAAAAGGGAGGAAACAAAGGAAACCAAAATCCAAATGCTGTCAGGCTGGGGCCACACAGCACCATGAAACTGGAGCGTAATCCAAACTAATTTCCTTTTTGTCCCTCCCGCCCACCGACAGAGCAGCAGGAGACACTTAAAACCTCCTTGGTGGATGAGCTTTTAGACCCAGCGAAGCTTCTTGTTAGCACTGTATTAACCCATTTAGCACCTACATTTGGAGAGCAAAGCGAAGTCTGCGGAGGTCTTTGCAGCTTATGACTGATAAGCACACAGCACCTCTTTTAACTCACTCCGTCCAGCTTAAGAGTTTTAACACTATCTTGTGTATAAGAAACTTCAGAAATTTAAACCAGCATTTTCCCCATCGGAAACTGCAAGAGTGGCTCTGATCAGGCCCACCCCGCCTTTCAAAAAGGCGAACCTGGCCCTGTGGAATTTCCTTGTTCTGTGCCTGGCTCTCGGGCCAATGGCACCAAGGGCAGAGAGGATGTTGTTTCGAATACAACCTAACACTTTTATTTGCTCCATTTCCGTGTGTGATTAGGTTCAAATACCCAGGAGAGGGTGAATTCAAGTGTTTGCGAACATACTCACTACGGGCTGAAAAAGGAGGTACCAAAAATGAAGTAGAAAGATAACAAGCAGATAATAGCCAAAGAAACCTCGTTTTCCCACGACACACGAAGCTAATTCCACTGCAAGCGAAGGTCTAAATTGAAGGGAGAAGAGAAAACTAATACAAGCATTGAACACTTAACATGTGCCTGGCATGGATTAGGGGTTCTCATTCCTTTCTTTTTTGTCCCCTCATTTATCAATTTACCCATATCTGAACTGGGACAGATCTGAAGGAAAGCACAAGTCAAATCACTCATTTGACCAAGAAGAGCTCTCAAGTGCAGAGTGGTCCAGACTCTACAGCTTAGCGCTAGAACCAGAATGCACACATGGCGTCACTCCTTCTGCCTCACGCTCCTTACCCGGCTCTAAGGATGCCAGCAGGGTACAGCTGTGATGTACCGCCAGCATCACTGGCAATTTTTAAGGCTCTCCTATGCAAATATAGTCGGTTCTGGACTAACACCCAATTTAGTGTGCTGTTAATTGATGCTTTTGCCTGGAAGGTTCTTTAAACCTGCTTGAGAGTTGAGTAATGCATTCATATCGCAAATGAAATAAGCTCTTTCAGAGCATTTGTTTATTTAGGATTACTGAGATGCCAGCAAGGCTGCAAAAACCAGTTTGGCGTGGGACACTGGGAGCCCCACTTGCTCCCCAGAGGATAGTTCTGACAGTTCCTGCTCCTCTGCAGGAGTTTCATTCCAGGTAAACATTGCATTTCTAACAGATATACTAACTGGAAGAGGCTGGAAGAGGTAACTGAGGAAATGAAAGAAACATGTGAAAGGGAGGCCAGTTTTACTGGTGTTTCTAAATGAGCTGTAACAGAGGAGGAAAGAAAAGACAAATGAGTCAAAACCCCTCTTTGCTTAGCTTACAACGACCCCTAGGTTTCCTGTTTTCTCTTTGAAGGTGTGAAACATACTAGAGAACACAGAACCAAGTGTCTCCAAGCAATGGGTTAGTTTCATGGCTGTTCCTCCAAAGCAGATTTTCAAAAAATTTTTATTCAATTAGTAGTGAGCCCATGAATCACCAAAACAAATCAACCCATTCGGTGGGCTCTGTGCTACACTTAGACATGCTTAAGTGATTCTCAGGCCAACCCAAGAATGCTTTATCAGCAGCAAAGCGGCCATTAACTTCACAAACCCTGAACCATGCAGACCTATTAATTATTTGAGCCAAGAGTATTATACGCTCTTATATACACAAGACAACCATTATGTACTCAGACATATGACACAGAAACACAGCTTTTGGGAGCCCTGACATTAGGGTCGGCCTGGCTAATTAACTCTGAAAAGCTGCCATAGGGTGGTCTAGATGGCTCAGTGTGTCCTCACATCAGACAGGTTTATAACACGAAGGTTGCAACCTTTTACCAGGACAGACCTAGATTTCTCGAAAGTTAATACATGCCCTAAAGGGGGCTATTTTTTTTTGAAGAAAAATATTTCAAGTAAGTGAATAAATAATTTTAGAGAGAATATACCAGGAATAACTTCAAGCATTCAATTTTTTTTAATTTTTTATTGGCGGGGGAAGGTAATTAGGTTTATTTATTTATTTTAACAGAAGTCCTGGGAATTGAAACCAGGACCTCGTACATGCTAAGCACACACTCTACCACTGAGCTAAGCCCTCCCCACTAAGCATTCAATTTTTTAACTCCTACTTCATTCCAGAAGGGGGTTTGAGGAAGTTAAATGTGAATATCAACAACTATGTCCTGGGGCAAAACCAATGTGAAGTTTATTAAGTAGCAGCTGGGCATGAGGCTCACGTGCTTATACTCTGGAGCCAGCTGGCCGGGGCTGACGTCTGGACCATTGCTTCTGCCTGCTAAGCTCTACGGCCTTGGGCAACTTCGCTAACCCCCGTGTACATCAGGTGTTTTCATCTATAAAGTGCTCTAGTAATAATATCCCCCAGGGTTGTTGTGGGGACCAAATGAAACAATCCATGGGGAACACACAGCCCAGCGGCAGGCACCGGGGGAGGGCTGAGCAGACATCAGCTGGCGTTAACACAGGTCAGGGCTCCCAACCTGGCCGTGGTTAGAGTCACTGAAAAACTTTCTTAAAATGCTGATCCCTGGGCCCCACCCAGACCTATTAAAACTAGGATGGGCAGGTTTTAAGGAGCTCTTTAGGAGATTCTAAGGCTCAGTAAAGGCTGAAAACCAATGTCTTATGCTATAGGGTGGGTGGCCGCTGTGGTCACCACAAGTGTTTAAGTTCTGGGGTGCATGTGCTTTTATCTGTATAGTTTGTGCGGTGCTTCCGGAGGATGGGCCGTATGGAGCATGTCTCCCTCCACACACGAGCTCACACAGCTAGCTCAACCATATGGAGATCTACAGCTAAGCTGACTTCTTACCTGACCCTCGCCCTCTTTTGGATGCGCTGCATTTAAGAAGGCAGGTGTTTCCAGGTGCTGACAAACGCAGTAGGGATCAGCGAGTACGGGACCGTGGTGATGCTGTTCCACACATCTAACGTGGGATCGTAGCAGTCCAGCGTTTTGCATCGCTGAATGCCAAAGTAGCCTCCAACCACGTAGAGTTTGTTGCCGGAGGCCACCGCGTGGCAGCTCATGCGCTTTGCGGTCACGTCTCCCACCTTGGTCCACTGGTAAGTCTCACTGTTGAATTTATAAGCAGAGCAGGCAGAGAACTCGGTATCTCCCCCCATGATAAAAATCTGGTTCCCCAGCACAGCTGCTGCCGTGTAACGCCAGGGCTGGGGACAGGTGGCCGGGACGGTCCACCTGTTTTCACATTGATCGTAACACTGAACCTTGGGGAGCTTGTCATGACTGACACTGGTACCTCCGAACGCAAACAGCTTGAGTTTGGCACTCACCACTGCGGCATTGCTTACCCCTTCCCGGAGGGGGGCCACCATGGTCCATTTGTTGGTTGTGGGGTCATAGTGTTCCACCTGCTTCAGAGAGACTGAGGGAGAGGCCGGGAGGCAGCCAGTGGCGGCAGTGTGCCCCCCGACCACGTACAGGCAATGCTTCAGTTCAGCAGAGCCATGGCCAAATCTGGCCACCAGCATGGGGGCAGCCTTGGACCACTCTTCGTGCAGGGTATCATAAACCCAGACATCTTTTGAGACCCCATTTTCAGACCCTCGTCCCCCAGTAATGTACACCTTGCAGCCAATCGCACACGCGCTGAACTCTTTTCTTGGGCTGGGGATGTCGGCCTTGGGAATGATTTCTTTGGCCTTCTGGTCAACCAGATACAGCTTGTCACACATGAAAGTCTGTCCTCCCAGGAGGAAGAGGGCATGGCCGGTTTTCCGGGGCCGGGCACAGAGGCTGGTTACCACACCGTCGTTCTGCAGGATCTTCAGTTTGCATCTGATGGCCTCTTCTACAATCTCCTTGCTCTTTCTCTGCTTGGTGATGAGTTCCTCCATGGCCACATTCTCCATGAGATAGATGGCCGGCAGGAGAGCCAGTCTCACAGTCTGCAGCAGCTCTGGGAGGTAGCAGTAGCGCTTCTTCAGGTCGTAGCTGATCCAGTTAATTGCAGACTCGTACACGAGCCTTTCATCTTCTGTCTCCAGCTCTTCGCTGGATAAGAGCTGCACTACCATGTCCTGGGGCAGCTGGAGGAAATCTTCGTTCTTCCTGATGGTTTGGAAGTTGCTGAGACACATCCTCCAGGAGAGTTCGTACAGCTTGGTGCACTGGTGCGCATCGGAGAGGAGCAGCATCCCCAGGCAGTTGGTGGGGTGCAGGTTCTTCTCCAGGAACTCTGCGCATGCATCCCGGATGTCTTGAAACTCCAGCATGTCGCCGGCCTCCAGGAGAGATTCTGCATTTTCTTCATTGATGATGACCCGGGAGGAGTACGCATAGTCAAGAAGCAGCTCCAAGACTTCTGGGTGGATGGAGTTGTCGAAGTTGACTTCGCTGTCCTGGCTCTCTTTCAGGCCGCCACTGAACATGGCTTCAAAGTAGCGGCTGCACGCGGCCAGCACTGCCCGATGACAAGGGAAGGTCCTATTTCCGGCATGGAGCAGGACGTCGGTGAAGAGGCGCTGCTGGCGTAAAAGGTTCAGGTGAGTGAGGACGCTGTCGGCGTAGGAGGACTTGTGGAACAGATAGATGTTAATGGAGCCACTGCTGGCCCTGGACTTGCGGTTCTCATGCACACTGACAGACATTTTGCTTCCACTCCTGAAAGACAAAACAGAAATGACTGAACGTGATGCTCTGGGTGTTCAGAACAGCCGGACCAAAGGAACCACAGCAACAATCGCTTTCGACAGAGAAAGTGGAACACTTCGCTGCTGGCCCGGCTGCCTGCTGTTCTGAATAGCAAATGGCCAGGCCTATACAGAGACAATAACTTATGAGGAAAGACACTATAATACTGTTGAGCTATTTAAACTGTACATTGTTTAAAAAAAAAGTCACTGCTTAAGAGCAGGTTCATCTTGGAAAACCTGATTGCCAACTTTCAAGATACTGAAGTCCTTGAGACTGTAAGTCAGCGAAAGCCAAGAGGAGCGAGGTCTCTGTCTCACAGCTCCCTGCCCTTGTCCAGCTGATTCATTGAAGGCCACTTGAAATGCCAGGCCTCCAGCTCTCGTAACGCTGGGATGGGCACAGGCTTTAATGCCCTATGCAACATAAAGCCACGTATAAAATAAATACCTACTAATTAATCCCATTAAGAATTCCTTTGGTAAGACCCAGTGTCCCTGCATATACAGTAAATGGGAAAGGTAACATTAAAATCACAGGCTCAGGCCAACTTCTGAAGATCAGACTTCAAGTTAGCATTACAAATAATTTCTAACCAGACAGTGCTACCACTGCAGAGTCCTAAAAGAGCCGCAATATAAACATTACCATATATTGATCAGCAAGCTATCATGGAAACACAGAACAGATTCTGGCCACAAATCACCACCCACATTTCTTGCTCTGGACAGCTTCCAAAATGAGGATTTGGACACATAAAAGGGAGAATACTTTGAATAGTACACTCATATGTTCTGTTTTTCTCTTCTTCCTGCTGTAGATCAATTATTAGGAAACCAGTTGTAGAACAAAGGTTCTATCTACCCCTCTCTTTCGATTAAAGAGCGCATCATCAGGACCATTCTTGTGCACCTGCAAACACCGGCACCTGCATACAGGAAGTTCAAAATGCACACATCACTTTATCTAAGTCCGAAAATACACAAACACACACATGTATGTATGTGTGTGTGGTGCCAGCCATTGTTAATTTAGGGCCACTCTAGAATTTATTTGCCGATTGGAGTGCTTTCCTCAGTATCTAAATTGAAATGCTAGCAGACCCGAATGCTACCTTTGGCGTTGCTCAGCAAGTAAACCGTAGGCTACAGGTGTAGGACATGCCTATCACCTAGCTTCAAAAATTCCATCATATGCTTTTCCTTTTTTCTCTCTTTTTAATCCTACCCCTCTGTTACTTCAGAGGAATCAAGGCTTCAAGAAGCTGCCTGTCAAAGGATACCTAAGGAAGCTGTTTATCCCAGGAGGGTAAACAGTGTGGTTACAGCATCTGTTCCAAACACAGAACAGCCAGTCCTCACAGCAGAGCTGAAACCCTCCTTGTTTCCTTGAACCATTCAGGTATTTATTTTTAAATGCATATCACAGGAGTTATTAACAAATGCAAATGAGTGATTTTGTACAGATTTCACGGGCTGGATACTCAACTGCACTTCCCTGCCCAACGGAGGTGAAGCAGGCACAGAAAACAAGGGGCAGGTGCCTAACTTGCCTTTTGGCACAGGCCTCACGCTATTAGGGGTTGCAACTTGTTTTCTTTTATTCTGGGCATGTACTTTTCATTATGAGTAAACACAGCTTAGTGGAAGAAAGTGAACAACATAGTCCCTGGACTCTGGTGTTAGGAAGACTTTACAAAGCCCCCGTTAGTCTCCCCGGTGACTTGGGCTGGGACAAATGGTGAGGAGGCAAGCATCACTCCAACCTCTAGCAAAGCTTCTCCAGTCAGGTCCATTTATTCAATGCCTAATGCTCAGGAGAACAGCGGACAGGATCCTACGTGAATGCACCAGGTTTTCCAATGTGTTACAACGTGCATTAGCATCCCTGATGCTCTACCGCTGCAGTTATCATGTGAATTAGCACATTCGGTCTGAAGTACTGTCAGGAAGATATTAACCCCAAACCTCGGAGGGGATGAATATTACCATGCCTTATTTTGAAACTCATAAAAATTCCAAATGAGTAGCTTTGCTTTTTTTTTTTAAGCTAATGCTTCCAAAGCAACCTCAAAAGCTGCCTCCTTTCCAGCTAAGAGTGAATGCAGCTCTGAGTAAAGAATGAGGCTCCTGCACAAGGTGTATAAGTACCAAAGTGCCAGCACATTGATCTGGACTCACACTTACAGGGCCCAGAACACGTTTCCCTGAGCAGTGGCAAAACCACATTTACAGCCAGGCTTACACTTAAGAAAACAATGTACAAGACCCTGGGATACAGGACCTGCATCTCGGTACATTCTGTGTTTATGCTCCTGTATTTTCCACATTGGCTCATTAAAGCTAGTGGGAAGACCCTAGCCTGTCATCTTGGATACCATCCAAATAGAGAAGTGGGTCACAGTCCAAATCCAACAATCATGGAGCAATATTTGACTATAAAATGAAAGGTAAATTTGAAGACCCAAGGGAAAAGACATGCTTTCTGGATTAAAATTATGCAAACATGAAAACATCCGCAAAAACCACGTATACAGTCACTAAACACACCTTCAACAGAAAAACGAATCACCCTTCTTGCATTTTTTAAGTCCCCAGAGAAATACTTGCATGCCAAGTAAGGGGCCAAAAAATGCACACGTCTACTTAACCTGCCTCTACAAAGAAAGAGAAAAGGGCTGCTATTACTGTGAACATCAAAAGGGATTCTAGTTACAGTAACTTCAGTTCACTTAATACCCTTTAACCAGGCTCTCTGCCTTCAATACTTAGCGTCCAGTCACATTTCTTTGGGTTTTGAACCTGATCTCAATGCAAAGGTGAAACCAGGCAGATTTTCTCAGGCATTTACGTTATTAATAACAACGCAACATTCTAAAGAGACTGTTACCAAGAAAAGCATTTTACCATTCAGTCCTCTATAATACTTGCAACGCTCTTCAACACTCTGGCCATGCCTGTGAGGGCGACCCCAAATACACGCCGACCAAGTTCAATGGTTCATCTCCATCCCGCCCACCAATTCCTATCCCTAGAAACTAATAACGTTAACACTAAAGGCCAAATATTTGCAAGAGAAGAAACTAATTTTTCAGAAACTAGTTTTCATTCATTTCCTACAGACATCTGGCCGCAGTGAACGTGCCCTCTCGAGGAGTGTCTGCGCGTGGCCCAATGCTCCCCTTGCCAGGCAGGGCGCAACGCAAGCCAACCGTCCCGTGCGATCGGAAAGCGCTCTTTCCGCGGAGCGGGTATTGAGAGAATCCAGGCTCTGCTCCTTGCTCCCCATTGGGTCGAGCTCTGCTCTGCGAGCTGTAGGCGGGCAGCCGCGGACACCGGGTCACAGCCCCGAGAACAGCTCCCCACCGCCGCCTAAGTCGGAGCTACGGGCTCCCGGGCGCGCACACACCCCTCGCGAGCACATCCCTGCAGGCCAGGCAGCCCCCGAAACCCGCGGCGCCCGCAACAGGTCCTGGGCGATGGGGGAAACTTACAGCAGTGGCGACCGGCCACAGCGCACAACCGGCTGGGTTCTCGCCTCGATCACCGGGCGGGGAGGCGACGAAGAGGACGTCTCAGCCCCGGGGAGCAACTGCGACTGCTCGGGCGAAAGGAGCGCGCATGGGACTCTGGCTCGCGAGCGGGTTACCGCGGGCGGATCGCCGCGGCCTCACGATCCCCAGGCGGCGGCCTCTGCGACTGCCACCCGCGGAGCGGCTCCCGGAGTGCGCTCTGGAGCGGAGAGCCAGCCCGCGGCTGCAGGCGCCGCGGAAGGAGGCGGGTTGTGCACTTGGGGGAGGGAGCTGGAAAGCGCCGTGCGCGCCGGCGGCCGCCTGGCGTCTGGACTCGGTCGCTGCAGCGCCACCGCCGCGCCGCCTCCGCTCCGGCTGCCAGAGCAGTCTGCGCCCGGCCGCCCAGGGCCCGGCTATAAGCGGCGCGGCGGGGAGGGGAGGGAGGGGAGGAGAGAGGGCGCGTAGGCAAAGAGTGACACCAGGGGAGGGAGGGAGGGAGGAAGCGCGTGAATGCGGCCGGCGGCGGCGGCGGAGGAGGAGGAGGAGGAAAGGGAGGAGGAGGAGGAGGAAAGGGAGGAGGAGAAGAGCCAGAGGAGAGCGTGTCGGGGGAGTTAATCGGGAGAGGAAGCGGGGGAGGGGGCTGCGGCGACTGGAGAGAGACAAAGCAGACGTGGAATCTCAGCCCTGAGCAGCTGCAACCTTCGGGGACCGCGAATAAGACAAGTTTTCCCTGGTCAGGGTGTCTGCGCCTCTCTCGCCAGCCCGATGCCTGGATAGCCCCAGAGCTGAGGGACCCTGTGCGCTCCGCGCTGCCGAATCCCGCCTGATACTCATGAAAGGGCGGCGGGGGGCAAGCGGGGTGTCCGCGGCACGCGCCCTGGGCACGCACAGCCCGCGCGCTGGGTGGGACACCCGCAGGGAGGACAGTGGCAAGTTTGGACACTACTTTGGACACTCTAGGGGCTGTAGGGTTTCTCCCTGGCAGAGAACTAGACAGACTAGACTCGAGCTCCAGGCGTTTCTCCCGCGTTCTCCCTCCCTGCCCCGGGCGGGTGCGGCACCGGCGGCCGGACTCTGCCCCGCGCCGCCGTCGGTAACAGCAGCCCGGCGCTGTCCGGCCGGACGCGCACCACGTGCTTCGCAGCCAATCGCCGCGGCCGCTTGATTCAAAGCGAACTGCTCCAGGGAGCTGCCACGCCGCCTCCTCTCCGTTGCGATAAAGCCTCAATCGCCCTCGGAGACCGGGCCCTTTCCTGTCTTTTATCGCTAGGTTGTGTTAGTTAGGAGTTCAGCAAAGAAATGGTTCAGCACACACGTTTGAAGCGCCGCGTGCCACGAGAAAGAAAGGTGGTTAGAAAAATAATCTCGCACGGCGATCACTATTTGTGAAACCCATTTTTGATCTTTGTACCAAGGGCTTGTCTTTCGAAGGGGAACTGAAACGCCTGTTTATTTTGTTTTATGAGGTACTTGGAATAAAGTAAATGAATGAACTGTATAGATTACCGGTCCAGCGCCCTCGTTTTACAGGTCAGGAAACTGAGGCCCAGGGAGAATCGAATTGTCCAGCTCCAGGGCACACCGCTTCGATGGCGTTTTCTCTCCCCACTCCCCCACCTCCCAGGTTTCTTTCAAATATTAGACGCAGAAATGGTTTAAACCGGCCGGGGACGTTCCACCTGGCGCGCCCAGGGACTGCCGAAACCAAGACTCCGTGGGTTCTTTATTCTAATTCCACTTTCCTTTAGCCCCGGAGCCTCCTGGTATTCGCGCTGAGAAATTTCGCTCCTTGCAAACAAAGAAACACACTGCCCTCTGAAGTCCTTTGTTAGCATTAACTCGTCAGCTTCACCGAGAGCCTTTACAAAGCTGTTTCCTATTTTGTTACGCAGTCTTCACAAAGCCAGAGAGGCCCGATCAGTTCCCGGTCTGACCCACGTGCAGGGGTTCTGCCAGCTGCGAGGTGAAGAGAGGCAGATCGCCGCGAGCTGATCCGGTTCCTGAAGACGTGGATAAAATCAGCCAAGACCAGACGGACAGAACCTCTGCAGACGCCAGTGCTGAAAAGCCGGGAGGTGGAAACCTGTAGCTGTTGCGCATTTGTCTTTTAAAACATGTTTCTCTAGCCTGTGGCGAGGTGTGGGGGACGTTGACCGGTGCAGCCTTTGAAGACACCTCCTCCAAGCGCTTTGTCTGTCTGGGTTGTGGGTCAAAAGCAAGTGCTCTGGTTCTGAAGCAGCAGACTGGTCTTCCACGGGGTGATGGAGCTAGCGGGTGTTCTGTTTAAACTGAGATTAACACTTTTTCTCATTAGAGAGAAGTATTTCCTTCTTCCTTCAGTTCCTTGAGCAAATCTACCTGGAATGGTACCTAGATGACCCTGCCCAGGAATGAAACTTGTCCTCAGTTCATTTCATTGGCTGAGGATTTTGCCACAGGAAGTCACCCAGCTAGGAACAGGCCATCTGTTTCCGTTGCCTCTTTACCACGAGGAAACTGCAGCGTGTCCTCAACCAGGGGGGACAGCAAAGTTTCTGTGTCATTGTCAATAGCTTTACCAAGCAGACAGCGCTGAGAAAGGAGTGAACTTCTCTGGCCACGTTTCTGTGTCTGTTCTACACAATGTTGCCACCTTTCTAAGCTTCAAGAAAAGAGAAGGGAAAAAAGTTATAGACTAGAAAATCTTGAAAGCGTCCAGTGAACATACACATTTGCTTCATCTCCCTCAGGGAGATAAGCAACTTGGAGGCAGGGAAAAGAAATTGCTTATCATCTGGGTTATAAAAACTGGAAGACATTCCTGCTGAGAGACAGGAATGACATTTGCTTTTCTAGGGCAAACGTGTGTGCTGCTGATGACCTCAGACAAGCCATACACCGGTTTGCTTGAGCCCATATATGAAACGTTTTCAGGCCCGTGGGCAGTGTCTACTGTTTATTTCACAGCTGAAAGGGATTCGTGAGTCAGCGTATTTAGGATCACAGCAGCTCAGACTGTTACTCCTCCCGCATCTCTTAGCCAATCCTAAAGGTAATGCTTATCACTTCATTTACAGCGAAGAAAAGGTAAGTCTTGCATCTGTACAGGAGGAACTCTCCAGACAGACTTGTGTCCAGATAGATACTGTAGATAGGAGTCACAGACATCTCAGGAAATACTGCAGACATCGTGTTGTACATCGGCCACCGCCTCCCTCAAGATGCTGGGCCAGTCCCCTGGGCGCTGGTCTTCGCCTCTAACTTGTGACACCAAACCGAGGTCTTGTTTTTAATGTTATTAAGAAGCTGTGCCCAAGGCTTTGGCCTCGTTATCTCCCTTAACAACATTATTTTGTTAGGCTGCAAAATAAGCAGCATGGGGTTAAATGCATTAGCTGCCTTCGAACCTAATTTATCTTCATTCCTTCCTAATTTACACTCGGGCTGAATTAATGAGAATGATTTAATTAACACGGTGCAACCATAGTACCAGGGACAGGACAGCTCCAGGGATTAGACCAAACAGTGAGCCAAGCAGCTGCCGTCCTGCCCCCCGTGCCCCCCCGAAGCCCCACCCGAATCTCAGACACATTCCCTGCCAGTCTTCCAAACGTGTCCTCTTTGTTCTTTGCTCCTCTTCCTGGATCTCTGTGAGGAAGATGGCGTGGCTTTGCCTCCTTGTGTTATTTGTGAGATGGGCCTCAAGGCGGTGGCCTGCACAGCCCGAGTGGCTGAGGGCTCGACGCCCATCAAAGACCTGTGCTCTTCCTCCCCTGGTGTCAAGTTCCCACTGGGAAGAGAACACCCAGCCAGGATCGACAGCCCCCACCCCTCCCCCCGCCCTTACATCTTGGGATCAACACCTGTGGAAGGAAAGAGAGGGAAGCCGGAAGGGCAAGGGAGAAGTCCAGCTGGGACGCATCTCAGTCAAGGCCTCAGTCTACCCCAGGCGGAGCTCAAGAGTGGAAATGACCCTGCAGAGTTGTTCTCAGGTAAGGCCAGAAGGCCAGGCTTTAGATGGCTGCATTACCCGTTGCCAAATGCCCACTCCCGGGAAAGGGGCCATGGCCATGGTCATGTTCCACAGACTCCATTCTGAGGAGGGCCTGCTGCTGCCAGCACCCCCGGGGGCCAGGAGAGCAGTCCTTAATTCTTGAAGGAGATTCTCAGGCACTTAATCCAGTGCCCACTTCAACACTTCACCCTAACCCAGAGATAAAAACTGAGGAAAATGAGGCCTCAGTTCCTCCCAGCAATCCTCTTTCAAAAAGGGGAGAATTTTTTTAAGCTGGCTATTTATTAAAAATACAAGGGTGGGGAGGGTGTAGCTCAGTGGTAGAGCGTGTGCTTAGCATGCGTGGTGTCCTGGGTTCAACCCCCAGTACCTCCCTGAAGTTTTTTGAAGTAAATTATTAAAAAATGAAAATACAAGGATAAGGAAAAAGATAATCAATACAAGAAGTCATCGGCGTTGTCTAGGTCAGTTTTTTGTCTCTCTGAGCACAAACAAGAGGTCTAAACTGATACTCAGTTGTCCAGATTTTGGTTTGCTACCTTCTACGTTTTATGTCTTTGTAACTGTGTATGTTTGAAGTATGTTACGAGAAACTTTGAGGCTGTTCTTAAAATTGTGTCCAAATTGGCATGGTCATATTTTTAAATTTCAGTTGCTTCCTAAATCCGTCGTATGTATTACCACTGTACATGTATTTTGTGAATTGAATTGGATTATAGTGTGACTTTTTAATTTCCAATTTCCAACTGCTCCTGACTGGTACATACAAGTACAGTGGACTTCTGGATAGTGCCATTTAGTGGAAAGTTGTGTGTAAAAATGTATTTGTGTCCTTTGAGTGCTGGGCACCAGCGTCGGGCTGAACTCCTCTATTCTGGGTGATTAGAACTGGGAATTCATTCTTCCTTTGTGATCCTGTCACTTTCCACGACCCCAGGTGACATTGCAAGTGGCAGATAGTTTCTTGGCAAATGTGACGGCAGCGGGACACATTTGAGGCACTTTTCCTTGGCCTTCCTCGAATTAGTAAATCAAGCCATTTTAGTCTGCTTCAGTCATTTCTACTCCAGGGATCTTCAAAGCAGTGATCTTCGCAGCCTGTGGCAGGTTGTATAGATTTTAGGGTCAGGCTTTTAAAGCCACATTTATTATTTTCTCTCTGATTACAAAAGCCATGCATGGTAGAAAGTTGGGGGGGGGGCGGGGACAGAAAAGTAAAAGAAAAAACTAACCATAAACCCACCAGTTAGAGATAATAACACTTTGCATTCAGATTCTAGTCTTTCTGTATCCACCTAGTATTTTATTTTTAGTGGTTAGGTGGTTAAGGGCAGAGATAGACCCCAGCTGAAATTCCTGCTTTGACATTTCCTGGCTAAGTCTTTGAGGGGGGCAAATATTATAATGTCTGCGTGCCTT